GAAGGTCGCGTTCTTGTCCCGTTCTGCCTGCGCCCGATGCTATGTGGGCTTCCTTTGTTCTCATAACCTCAGGACGGACCGAGTGATCACTCACGTGCTGGGCCGTCCTATCACCAGCCAAACCCAGTCTCGGGTGTTGCACCAACCCAGACTCAAACCCGCGACCTGTTGGTTTGAATTCCAACGCCCTAACCATCCAGCCATTGACTCGAGGTCCTGTCGGTTGCGATGGGTATATTAACAGCCATTAAGACAATGAGGTGTAGATGCGTGATGTTAATGTGAATTTTTCTTAAAAGAAAAAGTAATTTTCATGCGTACTCGATAAGCTTAAGTTTTTACAGGCTATATTAAAAGTTGTTTTGGCTAACAATTGTTTTCGGGCATTCACCGTTAGGCCGATGCATTTACGTGGAGAGTGAAATAGGCAGTTATATACAGTGTTAATACGATCCTCGTGGTGTGGGGGAGGGTACTAAGTCACCTCTGCATTCCCTTGTCTCGTGCATACTTGAGCCAGCGTAGTGAGGACTTTGGAGTTTAGAGCACGAGGGAAGGGGGACTTTCTCATGTTAGGCTTTCTGCGGTCTGTATGTCATAGACGGCGTGCGATTCCCGCCTATAGTCGGCCAAGAGAGAGAAACCGCCCGTACTAACATCTTTCGACAGCAGAGAGCTGGTTTTACTAAACGGATCATCATTGCCTCGACTGTGGCTAGCACCCGTTTGCGTAGGCCTTTCGAGTAGTGTGTCGATGCCTGGTATATGACCTGAACGGCCTCTCTCGTGTCGACTTGGTGGTTCCTATCGATTAGATGTGTGAGAATTGAAATTGAAATCGACAGACTTTCCCCTTTGCCTAGCCAAGCATATATGCGTGTTCGCGTATCCTCTTATCCAGTTCTTAGTTTTGCGAAAATTTCTATTCTACAATTGAAAATTCGGTGTGACGTTTGGTTTGGAGCCGTTTTCCCTGCCAGTCATTTTTGCACTCTCCAGGAAGTAGTTTTTTCAGCTTGTTGGTGTATGTTAAAATGTCAGCTCCCGTTTCATGAATTCTGAATCTGATATTATTGTTTGTGTATTGATAACACTCTAGTGCATAGCAGCCGCTTGGCATCAAAATATGTTGGGCAGGAAGGCAAAACTACTTAGTTTGGTTGGGTTTAATAGAGTTTTAGTGCCGCTGTAACTAATGCGGCTCTTTCACCGTTGATCTCAACATTCGTTCATTTCTCTCAATTATGTGTCTCCATGCATTTTGAAGTCTCCTTTGCTTTCGTATTGAAAATTGTGTTTCTCTTTTTAGGACTCAGAGTTGCAGCAACTTCGACAACTGATCGACTCAATGCGTCAAGATCGCTCAACTGATTCGGCCGTCTCGACGATGGCCAGCTCAATGCACGCGGTGGAAACTAGTCCGACAACCTGTTCTAACTCCCAGCAACATGAAGGCAGCGGCGGTGGCACAATGGGGCGGCATGGCAACGCCTCTCCGACACACTCTGTTAGCATTTTCTCCACGGATGACCCACATTCCAAGTGCTTGGACCTCGGGGAGAACTCCTGTCACACCTTGCCGCCAGGCTCGCTGACACCTGGCCAATGCGCCAAAAAGGCCAATTGGGTAATTAACCTAATAAAAATTGGTTACTTAAATTGTTTAAGTAGTCCCAGCATTACACACCTAATTGCGCTCTGTTTTAGTTACGAAGTTCCTTCTGTAAGGCCTTCAAAAAGAAGGGTTCCCAGACCTCCCTGCTGTTGCCGCCGGATTCGAGCAAGTCGGATTCCTACAGGTGGGGCGATGGTTTCAACTCCCT